GTAGTGGCAGTTAAGAAGTTACCACCTATGGCTTAATCATTTGCCTTTAAACCCAATGTTTGTAGAGGGAATGGGCCAAGAGTCTAAGCAGCAACCACCCCCATAGTACTCAGTCAAAGAGCAAAAGGGGAAAGGAACCTGCGTGTAGGAGTTCTACTGCTCCCTGTAATTGCCTTGGGTGTGCCTCTCTACCAGACACTCAGCCTTGCAAGACTCAGTTAAAGCCTGGCTTTTGCTGGTCTTCCTGCCTTTTGAATCCATTCCTTGGGTCTGCACAAGTGAACTCATTTCTTACAAGTGAAGCTGAGGAGAGTGGGATGGCAGCTTTAGAAAAGGAATCAAGAAATCTGTAGAGGGCTCCCTCTAGTCTGCATCTGAGTACTCAGAAAGAAACAAACAGTGGAAGAAGCTGGGAGAACCATTTCCAAGCTCCAAAAGGTAGGGAATTTTTGTATTCCAACTCGGGGGGGGGCACTCTTAATAGCTCAGGCGTTAGGTACTCAGTACTGGATAAAAATTACCTTTCGAATAAAGGTTGTTTTGTTCCCACCCAAATAAATACAAAAGCAAATCACAACAGAAAAAATGAAACTATCTCCAAGTAGCCTGTTTGCATCACAGCATAAGGAACACTGATAGAAATCAGAAATACTCAGCAACCAAAAAGGAAAATCTCATAATTTTGGCATTTAATAAAAACTGCCAGGCATGCAAAGCAGAAAACATGACCAATAATGAGAAGAACAAATGAAATAGACACAATTAGTACACAAAGACATTAAACATTTTTCATTAAATATTTTTCATATGTTCAAGAAGTAAAAACAATAAGCCTGATAAAAAGTGATGTAGGAGATTCTTTAAAAACCAAAACTAAAACCCAACAGTGGTCTCTGACTCAACCTCTTTACTCTCGGATATTCATAAAGTAATTAACTACTACAATCAGATCTTGAATTTTGGGTAACCTGGCCTGAGAATATTTTGCAAGACCAGTGAACATTTCTGAGAAACTTTTTTTCTCATTTTTTCCCCCTTCCCCTGCCCTCCCTTTAACCCCTCCTCCCCTCCCTGTTTACAAAGACTTTGCTTCCATTCTTTCATTTTCTCATATTAATTTCATTCCCTTCTTTCCTTTCCCCTGCCACTCCCACTTCCCCATTTCTGAGAAATTTTAATTCGATAAACAAGCAATATGACTAGTACATCACACCAAGTACCACATGATCACAGATGGTTCTCTCTCTCTGTCTCTCTTTCTCTGCTTTGACATACAAGTGCTTTGGATTACAAGCAGAATAAATTCTCAAACCAAGGTTTCACTGTAATTTCATTTTAAGCAAAAACAGTGACATCTTTATTCTTGGAATGTGGGTATGGCTGCCCTGCTGTCAAAAGTAATTACTTTGTTTACATTTCTTTTTTATTCCCTGGGACCAGGGATCAAACTCAGGGCCTTGTGCTTGCGAGGTAGGTGCCTTGGCACTGAGCTAAATCCTTAGCCCCTAAAAAGAATCATTTTGTTAGGCTGACTTGTCAAAGATTTTCAGATCAACAAACTTTACACTGGCATAGTGCCCCAGGGAAGTCTCTGCTATCTCAGGAAATAAGTAGCTGATAGTCTTGGAATATCTTACTAAGTACCAACTGGTTTGTGTTTGTTGGTACTGTTTTTAGTAATTTGTCTTTTATTTTTAATAATATTATTGCAAAAAGTGAATTTTAATAATTAAACAATATGAACTCTTATGTGTTTTATTCATTGGCTTGATACAGAATGACATGATTTACAACCTTTTCTTTTTATATTTTTTAATTGTGCTAAAATGTACATGGCATAATTACCCATTTAATCATTTTCAAGTGTTTAATTCAGTGGTATTAATTACATTTACAATGTTGTGTGACTGCTATATTTCCAAAAAGCTTTTATCAGTCCAAAGAGATAACTATGAAGGGATAACTCTCCACCCCTGGTAACTTCCATTTTACTTTTGTTACTATAATTTGCCTGTTTAAGGACATCTCAGGTAAGTGGAGTCATAAATACTTGTTTTTCACGTCTGTGTTTTTTAACCAAGATACATTAAAGGTCTATCCATGTTGTACTTTGTATCAGGATGCCAAACCATTTTACAGCTGAGTATGCTCCACTGACTGTATATATCACACTTTCTTTATCATTCATCTGCTGCAGAACACACTGGATGTTTTACCCTTTGACTGTTAGAAGTAATACTGCAGTGAAGACCGGATTACAAGCCTCTTTCAGTTCCTGTTTTCAATTCTTCTGAGAAAGTGAATTTCTGGGCTGTATGGTAAGTTTACATACATTTAACTTTTTGAGGAGGGTGCTATTTTCTACAGGGGCTGTACAATTTTATATTCCTACCAGCAATGTATGAGTGTTATAACTTCTCCATATGTTTGCCAACACTACCTCTTGTTTTTTTTAATAGCCATCTTAGCATGTTTAAAGAAGTATTTTCTCATAGTTTTCATTTGGATATCTCTAGACAAATGATTTTGATCATCTTCTCATGTGTTTGCTGCTCCCTTGTATCTCCTTTGCAGAAACATCTATTCAAATTCTTTGTTTAGCTTTTAATTTGGTTGACTTTTACGGTTGAGTTGTAAGAGTTTTTTACATATTCTGGACATTAAACATTTAATAGTTATATGACGTACAGACTTTTTCCTATTCTATACATTATATTTCTGCTTTCTTGATAACATCCTTTAATGCCAAGTTTTTAAGTCCAATTTATCTTTCTTTTGTTTTTATGCTGCTTGAATCTTATCTAAGAATCCACTGTAAAATAGAAGCTCATGAAAATGTATCTGCATGATTTCTTCTCAGTTTTATGGTTTTAGCACTTATGTTTAGGCTGCTGATCCATTTGGAGCTACTTTTGTTCAATTGTGTGATGTAGTTGTCCAAATTCATTTTTTTCCATGTGAAAATTGTATTTTCTCGGCACAATCTGTGGAAGAGAAAATTCTTTCCCCACTGAATAATCGGTACTATTGTCCAAAGAATTGGCCTGATAATCATGGACCCATTTCCAGATTTTCAAAACTACTCTATTGTCCTGTCTAATGTTATACCAGTACCACACTGATTTGATTATGCACCTTTGCAGTAAAGTTTAGCAACTGGGAAGGTGACTCCTCCTACTTCGTCTTTATAAAGACTGCATTGGTTATTCAGCTCCTCAAATCAAAAAATTATTTTGCAAAAAATAATTTCTGTTAGGATACATTGATTCTGTAAATAGATTAGGGTAGGGTTAACATCTCAATAATACTCAGTCTTCCTGCTCACGAATATGTAGTTTTTTGCCACTCTCTGGATCTAATGCAAAGTGAGTTCAGAGCAAGCACTTCAAAGATCTAAAAGACTGTGCTCTTGCCCACTGCATTGACATGACTTTCATACCTCCACTGTAGGAAGAAAATCTAAATAACCATAGAATAATGTTCAGAGTCAGTGTTTCTCACATTCAAAGCATAACGAAACCCTGGAAGAACAAGCTACTTAAGCACTAAGAATTGCTGTTAAAAACTTAGTTGTGAGGTTTTATGGGTATATGATTCTATCACAAAAGAAAGAAACCCATGAACACACAAACATTATTTTACACATAAAAACACCTGTATTCACAGCACAAGACTTAGTACTCTTTATTTATCTAATTAATATCGTATCACATTAGAATAAGGGGAAGTAATTACCTACAAATAACTTATCGAAAAATACTACAAAATAATTACATTTTGTTTCTTCTACTTATAACTCTTGTCTGAATAAATATTCTACCCATCAAGTCTCACCCTAAACAACACAGACATTTAGGAAAGTGGTTGTGTCTTTGGGTTGTCTGCTTTGGCTGATAAAATGTCAAATGCTGTATTATCATGCGGAATGGTTCAGTATTCTGCAGTAGTCTGCAATCTTTTATGCAAGTGGACACCTCTCAGGAAGAAAAAAAATGAAGAAGTTGTGAGTATACACTTCTAAGATACATGTATTTAAAAAGTATACATCAACTACTCCCTGTTTATTACCCTATTAATAAAGTATAATTCCTTTTTATGAAAAATAAGTACTAATATTTTCATTCTGTAACAATGGTTCATTGTATATACTGTAATAAAGACCATTACTCTAGACAACATGAAAAAAATAAAAAAGGAAGACAAGAAGTAATGTATTTTTCTCCTCACTATACATCATAACTCTATTATTTCTTAACACTTGAACACTGAATTGCTAGTTCTTCCTTTCATGGGACTACTATCTCACTTAATCTACTAATGTTGCTTTGTTTTTAACGATAATAAAAGTTTCTCTCTACTTCATCCATTTTACACTGTTATTTTCAGAATAGTTATAACACATGAGGGGAAGAAGGCAAGAGAGTACAAAGGGGGCAGGTGGTTTTTGGGAAAAGCAGAGGGGACTCTCCATGGTGGGTGGGCTGAAGGCTGCGGAGTGGTTAGAATTAGGTCTACAAGCCTGACAGGAACCTCCAAGAGTATGGTTTGCTCCCTGAAGGTTTACCCCATGGAAACTGGTTAGCAAATTTAATTCCTTCTCTCCCAAGTAAATGGCCAGGATTAGTCATCCCTTCCTACAGGAAAAAAAAAATGACACAAAGGAATTGTTACCATTTTCCTAAATGAAGAATTACAGGAAGCCCACAGCTAAATGATACCATCTCCCATTTCTAACACTAATAAAATATGAACACTTCCTTTGTAATCTGTTGTTTCTAAGGTAACAGACACTTCCACCTACTTTATAATCCATCCAAATACATTTTCGGATAAACTACAATTTAAATGACACCACAACTGTGACATGTCAACATGCATACAGCAAGAAAGTGTGAGCTGCAATATCTGGGCACACAAATGATTAAAGGCAGGGGTGTGATGCCAGTGAAATCTGAACCAACAGTGTGCTCTGTTGGCTTTGATTTTTTTTTTTAACTTACATCGCTGAGCCTTTCACGGGAGCTGCTCCGGGGGAAGCCCTTGGATTCTGCGCTGGCACTTTCGCTGTCACTGTCCCTGCAGCTGTTCTGCCCTGGCTTGAGCTAAAGGAAAAAGAACAAAATGTAAAAAGTCAGTGGTCTCACACAAGTGCTTCTCAGCTCCTGATCTGTGAGCCTTGTCAGTAGTGAAAAACTTGAGAGTCTGAACTTTAACATTCTTGATTTCAGAACATTGTGAGGCAATCTGACACAGGAAAAATGGAGAGTAAGATAAGCCTAACACCTACCATGAAATGTCACACACCATGCTTATAGCGGCACAATTTGTAATAGCTAAAGCGTGTGAAAACAGCCCAAGTGCCCATCAACTGGAAACTGGATAAAGAAGATGTGGGTTTTTTTAATAAAATGGAGTACTACTCAGCCATAAAGTATGAGAAACTAGAGATGTGTATATCTAAATGGATGCATATTGAGGCCATACTCTTAAGTGAAATAAATAGGACACACATGTGTAAATACTGAATAGTTTCTCTCATATGAGAAATTGAAAGTGTACCCTAAGGATTAAAATGATTAAAACAAATAATTGATAATTTGAAATAGGAAGAAAAGGTCCAAAGGGATAGAGGAGGTGGGAGGGGAAGGGGAAAGGAAAGAAGGGAAAGGAAAAAATGGAAAGGAAAGTGTAAATAGGGAAGGGTGCACAGGTAATGGAGAAAAAATAAGAACCAAGATACATCATGTACAGGTAAAGACACCCAATGATAAATGTAAAATGTATTGTATACCTAAAATGTACCAATAAAAGAATTTAAGCCAAAAAAAAAAAAAAGAAATGTCACACAGAGAAAAGAATGAACACCCTTAAATTAACAACTCAAATGCCTATCCAAACTCCACGATTTGGAAAGCAGATTTTCCTCAGATTTTTTTCTTCTGCTCCATTGTGATTCTTTTTCAACAAAATGACCAAAAACATTGGTTAAAGCCAGATTATATGTAGGATGATTTTCCACCTTACTTCTTCCCTTCTCTTCTCTAACAAACAACAAATCAGGACAAACATGAAGGCTTTTTTTCTAGGAGAAGATGATGAGACACTGCGATGTTAGCTTTCAACCTCTGAGAAACTATGTTATGATTGTGTTTTTCAGACAACATTCTGGAAATCTACTGCAGGACATTTAAACGTTATCAATTAATACCCACCACTTAAGTAAATTAAATTAATACTCATTCAGCACGTACACGTCAGTGCCACAGTGGCCGGGCTGGTCCCAAGCACAAGAGATAGGGTGCTAGAGCCAAAAGAAAGCGGGTGAGAAGGGCAGGGGAGACACAGAGAAGCAAGTTTCTGACATTATGCTCTAGTGCTTTCTAGATATCCACTACTAGCTGTTTCTCGTTTTCATGATGTTCTACAGATTTATCCAGGTCTGATTTTTCATTTAAAAATAAACACACATACAGAATCTAGAAACCACCCCTTTATATGAGATATGAGTCACATATATGGACCACATTTTCAGACATGAAGCCAAGTAATGCCCATCGCCTGTTTATAATGTTCTCATTTTAGCAAGACAAATTCAAATATAGTAACATGAGGAAATTCATACTAAAGGAAAACCAAAAAGTAACCAGTTAACATTCAGAGAAATGATTTCTGAAGCCTCAGATTCAAAATGTGGATTAAGCTCATATGGCTGAGAAGAAAATGGGAAGACACTCCTGAGGTGACAAATGTAGGAAGCAGAGAAAGGCATAGCAGCACGATAGGAGTCTCATCTGAAAACAGGCTCTCCCTTTGTGAGAAAATAGGAAGAAACAGAAAAGGGTACATGATGAGAAAACAGAAAGTCTCAAAATACAATCTCAATTTCTAGGCAAGATGGGAATTTAAAGAACAGAACAGGCAATAGATAGCAAACTTTTGCCTACAGGTTTTCAAGTGGCTCTAAAGCCAAGGGGGAAAACAGTGAAAATGAATGAAGAGTATGAATTAACATTAATTTAATTTATATGCTTTATATGCTTTAATTCATATGCTTCTTTAATGACTGCAGTTCACAACATCCATCAATTGTCCAAATCCCAGAATAGAGCATTCTTTTTTACTTCCTATATCTCTACAAGTCTTTCTTATCACTTTCCTCTAAAATCCCTTTCTCCAGGAAATCTTTTGTGATGAAGCTTAGAATATTATGCTAATTTTACTTTCTGTCCCCCTCAACCCTTAAGAACTTAGGTTTCTCCCAAGCTGAGGTTAAACTTACTAATTTCTAAGCTAGTACAAGTACAAGGTGTATGAGCCTTTTTAAATTAGTATGGAACAAAAGGTCAGAATATTGTCTTTTCAAATTTTCAACTTTATACTTATATTTAAGAGAGGATTTTATCTACAATGAACACCACCTTCTCTCTATTTAAATATTTGAAGTCCATTCCTGCCTTGTGGTTTTTCATATCAGATTCTCTCTATCTGGAACTTGTACCTTCAGGTTCTCTGTATACCTGAAATCAAGATGTTTCTTAAAGCTCAGATCTTACCTCTTCCATTGTGATATGTGAAGGGCTCTTTCTGTATTTGCTTTTTTTTTGTACTGGGGATTGTTCTCAGGACCTCGTGCATGTGGGGCATGTGGCGGCACCACTGAGCTAAACCCCGCCCTTGCATTTGCTTTTTAAAACTATGCTTTCAAAGTTTAGTTAGCATGTACTTCTTCCTTAAATGCCTTTGGTAATTACGATACATTTTTAAGATAAAAAAAGGCTTATTCTAAATATAGTTATTCTGATAATAAAATCTGCATGTAGAATGGAAGACATTCTTAAAACATATGAAAACTCATACTGCATTGATTCTAACTTAAGTATGGGTGGGTAGAACTACCTCCACTATATGGACAAAGAAACAATTTAATGTGCTAAAAAGTAGAAAAGGTTCTAGGACTAAAACCCATCTCTCTACTGCCCGCTGCTCTCTCTGTTTTAATTCTTGTCCATTTAGATGTTTACATTAATATGGAAATAAAGATTTTACAGTGTATTAGTATTTTCTACATATATGATACCCAACTACATTCACAAAGAAAGGACTCTTATTAAGTAGTAGTTGATATCATTAAAGAGATGTTTATAAAAATTCAGTTTTCCAACTTAGATGAGAAATACACATCCAGCAGGAAAGTAAGAGAGTAAAAGCATTAAGGCTTTACCTAATATTCCAACTGGCTCAATAAACCTGGACAGTGCATTTGGTCCTTTTCCATGATTCTTCATGAAAGGAAAATGATACTTTTAACAAGGCCCCAAAACAGACTTCTGTGGCCCTGACAAAAATTATCTGACTAAATGTTGATCTAGGCTAAAAGAAAAACCCTAAAAGGACTGAGATGAAGCAGCCTGTAGCATTCCCAGTGCCCTGCTAGCAAATGCATTTAAGTGAATTCTCTCCAGAGAGCTTTGCAGAAAATCCACCCTTATGCTACTCCTTTCTCCTTCAAAGCCAGGCTCAAGTTTGAAGGAAACTTAGGATTTTAAGCTGCCAGACAGCTCAATATTTCAAAGACATGAACTGATTATAGAAAGTACTAAAGCTAAATCACAATATTTCAAGCAAGACGTGTTCATTCCTAATCCCGTGAGTATTATTTTCAAACTGGTATTTTCACCCACATCCAAAGGATTATTTGGGGTAGCGTAACAAAAATCACAAGTTTTAGTTCTTCACCTGAAAGTCCCAGATATAACCTACAATCAAGAGACATTGCAAAGGTCAGGTATTGGCTTAAACATTTAAAGACCTGAGAAAAATCAATTGTGTGCATTGATTTGTCTGAGCACCCACTGTAGCTATTATAGGAATGCTATTGCTATAATGGATACAATGAGATTTCTTGCTGGTACCCTTGGTACTTAAGGACTTTATTTAAAAAATACTGTAACCCATTCTTGAATTTGAGAAGTTTCTTCCCAGTGGAATATTATAGGGTATAGACAATCAAAGGAAATGAGCATCTGGATGAGAGGCACAGAATCTAGCCATAAAAATTGCTTTTATGAAATGTAAGTCAGTTTTTCATTAGATTTCATTGTCAACAATATATGCTCCAAATGCTGACTATAATCTCATTACAGTATTAACTATCATTAATGGCTAATTAGAAACATCATGATCCATGGCTTTCTCACTGTTAGTGAATATGTAACAAAGCCCACCACCCTGGACCACATGAAGGTGGAACACTTCTTTACACTTCTGCCAATCATTTGTGAGCCACATTATGCCAATCTTTTCAGTTTAGATATGGAAAATTCAAAAAAGATGCTAGTTGCCCAGCAGGTGTCATTAATCCATCAAAATTTTCACAGAAGAATAAATTATGTTGAGAAGTTATCTATGTCCACAATTTGAGAGGAATCACGTGAATGGTGCAGTGCAATATGTCCAAAAGTAATCTCATTCCAGGCTTCTAGTTCCTCAAAGGAGTATATATCCTATTTCGGAATTCTGAGGTTTCCTGTAGGGCTCTAAATGAACTCTGCAACACCTTTAAATATCCCAAAGAGCTCTAAACTTCCTTGTGCACATTAATTTTACAATCTAATTTTCATACATGGACATATTTTGATCACATTCATCCTTCCAAATTTCCTTCCTCTTGTCTAATAGTCTCCCTCTATTTTCATGCCACCTTTTTCTTTTCAAGATTTCATGCATTAGGGAAAATATGTGATACTTGTCTGAGTCTTGGTTATTTTGCTTAACATGATGACCTCTAGATTCACCCATTTTCCTGCAAATGATATAATTTATTCTTTTTTGTGGGTAAATAATATTTGTATAGAGAGAGTCTACCAAAAATGCATACACACTTCAGGAAAAGAAAAAATATTATTTTTTTCAACAGAAGGTGTTACCCTTGATTGGGAAACAGAAACCCAGTACACTGCCTACTCTTAGAGAAGAAACTGAAAATGCACGTGCAGCAATCTCATTGACCACGGTTACCCAAAACAACTGCTAGCAGTTTGCCATACTAATAAATGTCTGGAAGATAATACCTATTACTTGGACCATTTCTTGTAATTGTAGA